CTGCTGAGTTTTTCAAATTTGCTGGCATATTGAGTGCAGCACTTTCACAGCATCATCTTTCAAGATTTGAAATAGCTCAACTGGAATTCCATCACCCCTACTAGATTTGTTCGTAGTGGTGCTTCCTAAGGCCCACTTGACTTCCCATTCCAGGATGTCTGGCTCTAGGTGAGGGATCACAACATTCTGATTATCTGGGTCATGAAGATCTTTTTTGCATAGTTCTGTGTATTCTTGCCACCTCTTCTTAACATCATCTGCTTCTGTTAGGTCCATACCATTTCTGTCCTTTATTGTGCCCATCTCTTCATGAAGTGTTCCCTTTGTATCTCTAATTTTCTTGAAGAGATCTCTGTCTTTCCCACTCTATTGTTTTCCCTTATTTCTTTGCATTGATCACTGAGGAAGGCTTTCTTGTCTCTCCTTGCTATTTTTTGGAACTCCGCATTCAAATGGGTATATCTTTCCTTTTCTCCTTTGCCTTTCACTCCTCTTCTTTTCACAGCTATTTGTAAGGCCTCCTCAGACAACCATTTTGCCTTTTTGCATTTCTTTTTGTTGGGGATCATCTTGATCCCTGCCTTCTGTACAATGTCACAAACCTCCATCTATAGTTCTTCAGGCACTCTGTCTACCAGATCTAATTCCTTGAATTATTTTGTCTTAGAGAAATTAAACCATAACAATTGGAATCAATTTATTTTAAAGTCGGATTTAAATGTGTGTTTCATCCCAGACTTGTTTTAGATGAGCTTGGTAGTTTAGTATGTATTTTTCAAATAAGAATTTTGTTACAGATGGCACTACTGAGTAGTAATTTTGAGTAAGCAGTGTTCGACTGTGAATTTTCTTTTTAAACATAACACCTTTGCTCAATTAATAGAGACCTATTCCACTTTTTGCAATAATATAAAACATTTATTATTAATGTCACTGGTCGTCTTTAATAATTGAATATATTGGTAACTGTTTTCCATCGTGTGTGTGTGTGTGAGTCAGTCAGTAGTGTCTGACTATATGTAACCCTAGGGTCTGTAGCCCACCAGGCTCCTCTGTCGATGGAATTCTCCAGGCAAGAATAGTGGAATGGGCTGCCAATCTCTTCTCCAGGAGATTTTCCCAACCCAGGGATTGAACCTGGGTCTCTGCATTGCAGGCAGACTCTTTATTATCTGAGCCACTGGGGAGGCATTATACTTTAACAATTTCTAAGATTGGGCCTATCAGCAGTACCAAAAATGAAACCTGTTTTTGAAGTTAAAAGAAAATATGAAGAATTAGGCCATAAGCTTATATTCAGAGTACATCATGCGAAATTCCAGACTGGATGAAGCACAAGCTGGAATCAAGATTGCAGGGAGAAATATCAATAACCTCAGATATGCAGATGACACCACCTTTATAGCAGAAAGTGAAGAGGAACTTAAGAGCCTCTGGATAAAGGTGAAAGAGAAGAGTGAAAAAGCTTAAAACCTGCTTTAAAATTGGCTTAAAACCCGCTTTAAAATTGGCTTAAAACCCAACATTCAAAAAAACTAAGATCATGGCAAATAGATGGAGAAACAATGGAAACAATGACACTTTATTTTCTTGGGCTCCAAAATCACTGCAGATTGTGACTGAAGCCATGAAATTAAAAGATGCTTGCTCCTTGGAAGAAAAGCAATGACAAACCTTAGACAGCATTTTAAAAAGCAGAAATGTTACTCTGCCTACAAAAGTCTATAGTCAAAGGTCTGGTTTTTCCAGTAGTTATGTACGAATGTGAGAGATGGACAATAAAAAGGCTGAGCACGAAGAACTGATGCCTTCACACTGTGGTGCTGGAGAAGACTCTTAAAAGTTCCTTGGACTGCATGGAGAACAAACCAGTCAATCCTAAAGGAAATCAACCCTGAATATTCATTGGAAGCACTGATGCTGAAGCTGAAACTCCAACACTTTGGCCACCTGATGCAAAGAGCCAACTTACTGGAAAGACCCTGATGCTGGGAAAGATTGAAGGCAGGAGGAGAAGGAGATGACAAAGGATGAGATGGTTGGGTGGCATCACTGACTCAATGGAATTAAGTTTTAGCAAACTCTGGGAGATGGTGAAGGGCAGGGAAGCCTGGAGTGCTACAGTTCATGGGATCGCAAAGAGTTGGACACAACTGAGCCACTGAACAACAACAGATGACTTGCAAGACTGTCTCTTGAATTTTTCATTAATAATTAGAAGACTGTAAAACATAAATTTGTTTTTATTGTTGGATTCGAATGCCCATGTAAACCATAATAGTAATGGGAAACACTACCCAAAAGACAAAACAATGCCTGAAAGTGTTTCTTGGCTCTCGGCCTATTTACAACTCTTCACAGAGAAAAGCCAGGATAATACACATACATCTTTGAATTGCATGTATATCTAACATGTTGAAGGGGCAGTCACAACCAAGTAAATCAGTATAGTCTCCTTATGACATTTTTCCATATACCTTTGAGCTGGTGTGGGGAGAATCAGGTATTGAGGAGAATGACTTGTCACAGAGATATATTCCACTTGAGGCTATTATAGATCTCCATTTAAGTTATTTACATTTATACCCTAGACCTACAAATCTTTCTTACAGTTAACTAATGCCATTTTAGCTATTCCCATTCTCTTCTCCCAAGGAAAAAGAATACAAACATGGCCATAGCCATTATTAATTTAGTTCTCCCTCAAACTCCTGTCCCCTGTTTGGATGTGAGTTTGCCCAGACATGCTAAAACATGTAGGAAAGATGAAGTAATTCAGAAATAATTATAGTTTTTAAATCACCCCAGGCCTTTTCACTAGGAATCTAGTAGATAACATGTTTCCCAAAGAAGGCCTAGAAGTAAAAATTCATGATTGCTGGAAAGAAGAGAAGTAAGCAAGCTAAATCCCTGGAGCCTGCCTATAAGTTGAAA